TCATATATTTTACTAAGTATCCCATTGGCCTTCTCCTGCAACCTTTCACCGTTTTTATGTGACATTGTTAGGACCGTATCATAATAGCTTTGTATCAGCCAGTTTTCTTTATTATTATTATTGTTCATTTTGAGCAGATCATTACATACAATATTCCACAATTCTGGGCCCGATCTCAACCCCTGCGGGCATCCTTTATTTATGGGGCAGATAATGTTGCCTCTATGGTGGTAGACCCCAGCAGTTCTTTCTGAAAGGTGCTATTAAGGATTGCAAAAAGATTTTTAGGGCATCTGGCCTGTTTTAGCTGACAAGAGTGCTGGCCACCAACGTGTATTAAACGCATTCTTATAGTTGATGGCCACAATTAGGGCATGTTCTTGTCGATTCCAAGCATTTTTGACAAAGTTAATGAGCTTATATATCGCGTGATAAGTTGAACGTCCTTTAGTAAATCCATATTGATTTTCACTCATCCAGTTATTGTTGTATAGGTGGAAATTTACTCTATTATCAAACCATCAAGTACCTTACCTGGTACCGACAATAGACTTATTGGTCTGTAATCCTTAGTTTTAAAGTCTCCATTCAAACCTGGTTTTGGGATAAATTTAATATCTGCCTGTTTCCATATTCTTGGAAAAATCCCTGTTTCAAGACATTTGTTATACGTGTATGAGAATGCCATTGGAACCACACAAAATGCATGCTTTAGCATTTCCGGTGTAATTGCATCCGGTCCAGGCGCTTTTTTTTTTGTTAATCAAAGTTATGGCTCTTTTAATTTCCACAAATGTAAATGGTCTGTCATTTTCCATTTCCGGAGGACTGTAGGTATTCAATCTAATCCTTTCTTGTGTGTTGTTATCTTCTTCCTCTCTGTTGCTGGGAAAGTGTGTGTCCATTAAGTAGTTGACAGTATCTGCATATCCATTTGTGTATGTTTTGTCTGTTATCAAAATGTTTGCTGGGATTTCACTTGTCTTTTTCCTACATACCACATAGTATGGCTCACTCCATACATTTTGTTTAATGCTTTGAGTACAAAATTGTTGCCACGCCTGACTCAGAGCTTTATTTACTTTTGTTTTGTAGTCGTTAAAACATCTAAGATATTAATTTTTTCTTTCTTTCATTCTTTCTCTCCAGATCTGTTTCTGAACGATATCTTTTTGTAATTTACGTGTTTTCTGTCTTAAAATGAAGAGCTCATTTGTTCCACCAGTGTGCGTTTTTAGTTTTAACTTGCGTGTAAGTCGTAGAATGACTATAAGCTTGTATGATATAACTGTTGAGATGTTCAGCTAAGATGTCAATATCTGTTATGTTATTTATTTGCTGTGTGGCCCATAGGTTGCTGAAGTAGTTTTTAAAAGTATTCCATTCTGTATGTTTCTTGATGATGATATCAGTATGTTGTGCAGGAGTATTTGTAAGGTTCCATATGATGTATCTGGTCACTTGCAGTGATGTCATCCATGGTATCACATTTTTCCGTGTGTTTGATCGCATTTTGATTGGCTACACATACGTCCACCCAACTTTCTCCCCTATTGGAGAAAAAAGTTGGTAAGTTACTAGTGTTACAAGAGACCGTATTATTGCTTGCCATAAAGTCTATTGGATTCCTGCCCCGAATGTCCTCCACTGGGCTGAACTGTGTTGGAGACTTAGCGTTATAATCCCCTGCTAAGATCCATGGTGAATTGTTTATTTGCTTGTTAATGATGTCCAGGTTTGTAATAAGTTCTAGAATGTCGTCATCCGGCGAACAATATATAGAAGTAATGTATAAAGAAGTATTATCGGTGGAAATCTGTACTGTAGTTATATTCTCTTTGCTTAGGACTGGGCAAAAATCCATGTTTAGATCACTGTGAGGGGAGAGGATCCCTGTTTTAGGTTTATTGTATAGTCCTTTAGGAGGGAAAACCTTCCAATTGCCGAAATGGACAATTCCTCCATCCAATGTGTATGGCTCTTGAAGAACCACAATGTCTATTTTCTTTTCAGTCACTGTATTTATTAGAAGAGATGAAGCTACTTTGCATCTTTCTGCATTGATTTGCAGCACCTTAATGTTTTGTTCCTTAAAATAGTGTCCCAGAACTACTGTTTTGTAAAGATGTACTTGTTTGTTTGCAGAATCCCTTAGATGCCATAATCAGTCTGTTTTATTCTCTGTGCTCTCAGTTTTTGAAGTATTGGGCAAGTTTTGTCGTATGCGTTGTGATTAGTTGAACCTTTTTTGTCGCTGGCTGGTCTCTATTATGTTTTATGCAATTTATGCAGCAGGGTGTATTCTGTTTATCATTACATTCGTTACATCTATGATTTTTAGTGCAGTGACTACAATATATCTTTTCTCTACAATCTTTTGCCATATGATTGAAGCCTGTACACTGGAAACATCTGATTACAGGTACGTAATCATCTAGTTTGACGTTCGCCCATGAAAGCAATATATATCTATAATAATAAACAATGCTTTTTGCTTGCGACTGTAAATTAGACAGAATTAGATAACCCAACAAATAGGGTATAACATTTTGCAGGGCTTATCACACCAAGGCCGACTGAAAGGACGACCAGAACTTTTATAAAAAAAAAAGGTTGGTTTTTAATAATCACACATCAAAGTATGCATTTTGGGTACAAGGACCCCCTCATCAGCTTACAAACACATGGCAACAACGTAACAAATACAATACCAATAACCTGTCAATACAACGGGATAACCAATGTATGCAGTACACTGCATTTACAATATCTCAATGTAACACATACACTAAACTAAATTATCAAGTATAAATCAGAATACAATGACAATGTGGTATAACATATTAACTCCACCAGTAAATGTCTTAGTTTCTCCTACATTTTCCAAATTCTGGTAGACTGTTACATCTTATTAAACCAATTGGTCTCCAGATTTTAACACAAAAAAATACATCAGATCTATAAGCCATTGTGAAGTCAACTGCACTGACCATCTGCATTTTACAAGGTGATGTGCCTATACTCCTACATCTGTTCAGCATCTGTTTCAAGGTTAAGTGAAAACAATGTCAATTTACCTTTCATGTAGCTTCAGTCCCATGTTGTTATTAATTCTGATGTCTTCTTGTATCTTCAGAATTTCTAGGTGTTCCTTGGTGTGATAAGCCCTGCAAGGTGTTATGCCCTATTTGTTGGGTTGTCTAATTCTGTCTAATGATATATATATCTATGTTGAATTAGTATATTTCTGATGTTTGATGCGACAGAAAGCACCACATGTCGGCAATTTTCTTTTATATTTCCTTTGAAAATGGTTGTACTAATCCTACATTTCTCTATAAATTCGTCTTTGTTCATTTGTTCCAGAATATCCTTTTGATTATACATTGTCTCAAGTAAGTTTTTATTATCAACAGAGTCAGGGAAATTGACAAGAATTAACCTTGGTTTCCTACCCTCTGTGACATGACATTTTATCTTTTCTTTGGTTGAGGGGAGAGTTTCTATTGCTTTTAATAACTTTTCTCCATCTTTACTGTTTCCCACTCTGAAGCAGGCACCTTCATTTGTAATTTTCCTTACTCCTTTGATTTTGACCCCAATATCTGCTGGGTTGACTTCTGTCACCACATCCTTTATCTACATGTGTTCCATTTTCCCCTTTCTTAGGATATACTAGGACAGCGTAGCTGTCCCCTGTTCCTTCATTGTTGAGCTTCGACGTCAGTGATTTTGATATAATTTTAGTCGTATTACTGGAATTGTTTGTCGATTTGACAATTTGTGCATATGTTGGTTGTGAAGCGATTGGCATTTGTTTTATTCTGTGAAGTCTCATTTTTCGATCTCATTTCTTTTAATATGCCGTACATTTGATGTACGGCAGCAAATAGTTGTGCGCCTTTTTCCTTTAACTCTTTCCTTTCTTCAGTACGGATGTTCCTTTTATAAGGCTCTGGGAGCAAGTCTAAAATTCTTTTTATATAAGTACTGGCGTTTTGTAATATTTCTTTTTCATTCAGGTCATTACCTAATCTCCCATCCCTATCTCTATCTGAGTCCACTTCAGCCCTTTCCTGTGTAGATCCTTATCATCCATAATGCCAATGTAATGAATAAACAAAATAACACAATTGTACTATACTAAATTAATAGAAAATTAACTATCCTAATAAAATCCAACCAAGTTCAAATCAAGAAAAACAATGAAAATAGTTGAAATCCAAAATTTAAATTAATGTAATAAATTATCTAAATTAAATAATTCAAATTTATTTAAAAAAAAAACGACGGTTAAGAAAGCCGTTACGAGCTAGCGACAGTTGAAAAGTTCATTAAAAAACCATTAGTTTTTAATTTTTTTTTCTTTTCCCCCTTTTTTCCTTTTTTAATTGTAAGTAATTATAAAAGATTAAACGCCTGTAATTACGTTAATTGTAGACCTATTAACCCCAAATTTACACCAATAATAAATATTACGTAGCTAAATAAAACCCCCGTTTCTGCCCCCTCCTGTCTTATCCCCCAATCGCTAGACTTCCGAAGTTTCTAAAATTAAATTTTCCCTAACTCCCCCTAATTAACCTATCATAATAATTAATATGTCGTATGAACCCTCTTTCAATCCACTTTCAAACAGTGTGTCACTTTCTTTTGTCCGATTAGTGGTTAATCCAAAATCGCAGTTTAAAGACAGAGCACTAATAAAAGCAGCCTCCTCACTTAACGCTCGGGAGCGCTCAAGTTTCCCTATTTATACACAGCACCATTAGATGTGATGTGCGACACCTATGGTCACTGACCAATCAACGAGCACGATAGGCCACACTCGTACAAAAACCGGCACCACGAAATGAAACAGTTTTACAATACAAAACCCGACATGACGCACATAATATACAATATAAAAACCCGACATAAAATATACAAAGTGCTTCAGCACTACAGACATAAAAAGGAGGACTAACTTATCCAGAAAAGGTAAAACAAATTGAGGCAGCTCCTGAAATTTTGAAAACCTTTGATCCAAGAACTATAGATAAAATAAATGAAATGTTTACTGCTTTAGTTGTAGGAACAAAAGATAACAGACCATTATCAAAATACATGAATAAATCAATCGAAGATATTAAATTCCATGGTGAATTTAAATCAAATTTTTCCAAAGAAATTCATAGTTACACTAAAGAAGAAATTTTTAAATTTCTCTAAAATTAGTCCCCTTTTTAGAATTTTATATATAAGCTTAAAAATGGCATTACAGCCATCAATGCCACCTGCATCAATTGATGATAAACATGTGATTAAAAAGAAGATATAACTGGTTTAATATGACAATGTTACTTTATGCATTGCTACTATTGTTATTTTATTTAATATGCTCATTATAACAATCTAATAAATTTAGCTATATTGCCATTAATTACTTGCCTGTGCATTGATAGTTTTTTTGATTTACAAAGAAATTATGGAAGTTAGTTTTTTTGTTATGAAAGCAGAAAGCTTTCTATAAATAATAATTTTTTTGTTTCTCTTTAGGTTACATCAAAACAATCCTGGACAGGGACTTCATTTGTCTTTGGAAATCAAATTTAATTTCTCCTTGCGTAGCCTACTGAGTGGATACTACAACAAATCATCCAACGTTGAAACCCTTGCATAAGATCTCTCAGGGCTCCATTTCAGGTATTTTTGTTTTTAAGATTCTGCCCTGTTTCATGAAATAGTGTAGAATGGTCTTCAGTTTTCTTTAATATTTACTTAATTTTTCAGAAAGAAAATGGCCGCAGCTGTGGTCAATGCCAACTCCAATTATAAAAAGACATTTTATTTGAACATCACTGTAGAAGAGGGCATATACGAGTATGAAGAGCTGCACAAACTTAAGCTACCAATTAGTAGTGTGTCACTTTCTAATCTATCGAATCAGAATAAATTTAGTTCTTCAAAAACAATGAAAAACAAAAACTTTAATTTGGTTCCAGCAGCCAATGTGGAGTTTTTGAATTTGGAAGACTTGTTCTCCAACGACATGAACATCCCACTCAACAAGATAGCCTATCCGCCTTATGCAATGCCACATTTCTCTGATGAGGCAGATTCAGGTTCAGCTTTTGCTGGGAATGTCTTATTCCCTTTACAAAAGCTCTTCAAGTACAGTTTCGGTATTAAAACCCAGCTGCAGCTGTTTTCTGAAGGAAAATTTAATGCTGATTATGTTCTGTTTAATTGTGAAAATGAAAATGAATACTATGTCGCAGTCGAGATGAAGAAGTGGATGCAGTTTACTGCGTTAAAAACCATCAATGTAACAGATCAGGGGATAAGAGATGCATTATGTGAGCCAGTGGCAGTAGACATTGATAGTTTACCTGATATACTAAATGAAGACTGGTTCAAGAAGACAGACAAAGACAACGACCTTGATGCTTGGATGGAACGTGTTGGCTTTGTAAAGCGGAAGAGTAAAAATGGCGACGAAAGTTACGATCATTTGAAGGAGGAGGCCAGGCAGAAAGGAAACAGCAAGACAGAATATGAGTACTTGTTACTTAAAGCCAAAAATCACAAGAAGAGGGGAGAAACTGATGGCATGTACAACTTCCGAATGGGGATAAAGCAACTCTATGCCTACCTAAATGCGATGAGGATGAAACAAGTTTTCGGCATCCTGACATCGTACTGCCATACCTATTTTGTCATTTGTAAATGTGACTGTCTGACCAAGGAACATACATTACAAGTTTCAAATTGTGTGAGGTATGACCAAGACATCATTAAAAAGGTGACTCAATTTGTTCACTTCGCAATGAACTCTGAAAGGAAAGAGATCACGAACATCCCTGTTCACTTGTCATTTGAAATTGGAACTGGAGATGCCAAAGAGGAAAGAGGAAATTGTACACCAGATAATGGACCAATGAAGCAGGAAGATAAGAATAGACATGGTCAAAAAGAAGGGAGTGGCACAAGGAAAGGATGCAGGGAAGACAACACAGAGAGAGTAAAACGTACGTTGTATTTCAATGGACGTGTAATAGGAAGTGGAAGATCTGGATGTGTTTTGAGTCTTTCTGATCGTCAGGGTCATCTGTATGCAGCAAAAAGCATTTCTGGGCTTGATGAGGAAAGGAGTGATGAGGAATACGACATCCTCTGTGAACTGCAGAACGAAGTTAAAATCTACAAAAAGTTGAGAGGCCTGCAAGGTAAAGTTGTTCCAAAGTTTCATTACAGTGGCTATTTACATGGTTGCGAATACACCCTGCTCTTAGACGAACTCGATGCATATCCTCTCTGGAAGTGTGACCTGTCGTATGAGGAAAAGGAAACGATCGTTTGGGCGTTGGGCGAGATCCACGCGGCCGGAGTTTTGCATGGCGATATCAGGGAGCAGAATATTTTGTTACACAGGACCACCAAGCAACCCTACTTCATAGACTTTGGGTTTTCAAGGGAAAGTAGTTGCGAGATGGACTTCGAAGAAGAAATAAAGAAACTCAGAGCACTTTTAGACATGTAACATTTGTCATAGCTTAACTTAATGTAGATTTTGGGAAATTGAAGACATTGTGTTTATTTGTGGGGCCAATTTCTACTAACTCAGTGATTACTGTTGAAAAAATTTGAGTAACATCGATTTAAAATAAATGTTTTTGAAGAACATGTACTGTTATATTATTCATAATCATTCCAATACACAAAAATAGCAAACAGTGGTTTTGGAGCCATTTCAGAGGCAAGTCAAAAATATTTTTATAAGAACAACGCCCATTATTTAATTCTATTAACATTCTTTTTTATAAAATATATAGATGAAAAACCATATGAGGTATGCATAATGCTGCTTTAAATGGAAGTATTTTCTGGTAGTCAATTTTTTCATTCTTTTTTTAATCATCCAATGCCAAGCACCAGAAATTTTGATTCTGTATTCTATAACTAATCCTTAAATTTCTAGAATACACACATTTAATATATTGGTGGTGCTACTGGTCGTTTTTGAGGTAACTGCACCTAGATTTTTATGGTTTTAGCAGATTTTATTGTGTCCCACACGAACTGGTCTCATATTGCAACAGTGAAAACAATAGTACAGTAGTCTCAAACTTGGCTTAATGTGGACCGAAGGGTGGCCGAGTTTGTGAAAATGCCAGGTTATTGGGAATGGGGTTAAAAAAAATAAGTATGAGTGTTTCCTCAGAAAATAAGTATGAGTTTTCCTCAGAATGAGTGTTTCCTCAGAAAATACTGTACTATATTTGTATGTATTGTTTACTTGAGAATACAACAGAGAATAAACTGCCAAAATACCCTTAAACAAAGGAAAAGTACGTACTTTGTGAAGGCATAGTTTTTACTACATGAAAATGAAAATTAATGAATACACTGTGAACAGTAATTTATCTAAGACAGACCTCAGAAAAATGCTTTGAAGCATAAAGCTGTCTATAATGAAAATTTACTAGGGGATTTTTTGCCCTGCCAGGGTGTGGCCGAGTTATCCGGACTGCCTGGTTATCGAGTGCCGAGTTTTCGAGACTACTGTAATTTCATAGCGAAAGCAGTGTTTGCATACGATTTTACGGTATAAAACCTGGCATTTTCTGATAATTCTATTTTGCTTTTTAAAATATGTGCACTATAGAAATTATAAGTTTTTTTTTTTTATCTAAAAAGTAGTGATTGGAGGATCAATTTTTCCTTTATTTTTCTTATTTTAGCAGTTTCACTGCCAGGACGTTTAGCATCATTAAGGTACTGTACATACTGTGTGCCTCTATTTTTGTTATTTTGGGTGATATTTTTTTTTAATCTACAAGATTTCAGGTATTTTAATTATTTTAGTTTTTTGTTAAATTTAAAGTTATTTTTTTATGTCAGTTTTTGAGATTTTTAAAAAATTGCTTAATAATAATTTTTTGGGAGATGAGTTTTTCCTTTATACAGTGGGTGATCGGTTAACGAGCATAATCTGTTCCAAGACTTTGTTCGCTATCTGAATTGTTTTACCCGATTATCAATTTATCATAAGTTTTTATGGGAATTTGATTAATTCGTTCTGGAGACCCCAAAAAATAAAAAAATATATACTTTATTACTACGTTTATTTGTATCTATACTAATATTATAAAGAGGTAATTTTTGTAGGTTTTTATTTAGGTGGTAACCTCCGAAACTACTCATCCGATTTCAAAAATTCTTTCACCAATATTTAGAATGGAACTTCAGGGTGGACATATTCTGTATATTATTCCGTTAAACATTCATATAAATTAAGATGTCATCTAGGCAGGGGCGGACTGGCCACGTGGGAAATTCCACATGGGCCGTATACAATTTGCGCCGTTTTTTCTTAATATGTACGTAATGTACCATTTGGTTAAGTTTAATTTTTAAAAATTATTATTTTTTCGCTAAGTAAGATAAATTTCAATTTTTAGGTGTAATATAGGTATATATTTGCAGGCCTGTATCATTTTACCTGGCCCTACCCGTATCTGAAGTTAAATTAGTTCGGCCGACCTGAGTCAAACACTACATTAGCCCGATTCGGCCAAACAGAAAGCATCCTAGGAGACAAATACAGTCATACCCCGGACTTACGCGATAGGTGAGACCGAGCAATAACCGCGTAAGTCGGGGTATAATTTTGCATATAAATACATACAAATTATTTTTAATTGGGACCGGAGACTAAAGAAAACAATAATTTAGAAAAAAAATGTTTAATAAAATCTTAGATAATACATACGTATAACAAATTATATTATTATACAATTTTTCACATTAACTTGATTATCACACCATAATTTTAACATTGTTTCCATCTCAGCGATAATACCGTGACGTTTACGAATGATGCTTGAATTTAAAGATTGAGCATTTTTTACAGCTTCGAGAATTTTTTCTTTACCTTTTATAGTTGTNGCCCGCGGGCCGCATGCGGCCCGCCGGGAGTCGTGTTGCGGCCCGCGGAGCTAGGTCAAATGAACATAAATGTTAACTTTATTGTACATATCACCAAATGAACATTAGAAGAGTTAAGAAGGTTTGGAAGAGTTCTATGAAACGCATTTGGACAAGGATAAATATCCTGTGTTTTACAAACATGCTCTGTCGATGGTTTCGCTATTTGGAAACACTTATGCATGTGAACAACTTTTTAGTCGCATGAAGTACATCAAATCACAAGTGAGAACACGAATTACTGATGTTCATTTGGAAAACTGTTTGCGTGTAGCGACATCAGTCGAGATCAATTTTGATGCACTTAGTTCTGTAAAACAAAGTCAGATGTCTCACTTTTAAATATTTTTAAATTGTCTAATATATATGTTTTATTTTCTTCAAAAAAATAAATATACCTATTTTTTGTGTTTTTTTTTTTTGCATTAAACCAGGCAAGTGTTTGACCACGATCTCACCTTCTGGAAAGCAACGGGTTGAAGCTGTAGCACGCTTGCTTGTTTACTTTAATTTAAAAAAAAAAAAAAATTTGGTGCGTGGCCCGGAAGGAAATATTATTTCTGAAATTTGGCCCGCCTGCTAAAAAGGTTGGCCACCCCTGCTTTAGATCAAACTTCTTTGCCAATTCACAAATTTTCATTTTCGTATCGAAGTCTTTAATAATGTTAACTTTACATTCCAAAGATAGTTTTTCTTTTCTTGTTTATTGCAGAAGAATGAGTTCTACTTCGTTTAGATGACATGGTAGAGTCTCTCAAGTCTCCGTAGATATAACAAACACAGAAATAAATAACAAAAGACGAATCGACAAGATTTGAAAATCGCGTAACTCCGGGTTCGCGTAAGTCGGGGTATGACTGTAATCAAAACTACCTTCTAAACAGAGAAAATTGGTCATTTGTTTACATTGCTAGAAACTATTCACCACTCCTATGAATCTTAATGTTAAACTTTGGAAATGCGAATTATTAGTTTTGTACCTAGCCACCAAAGCCATGATTGTAGTCATAACAAATTTAATGGCCACTTATATTATTTTCTTTATCTTAGGTAAGTAAAAAATGTTATTCAATAATAATTACTCTATATTCCAAACAATTTAATTAAAAATAATCTATTTTGTAGTGTGAGGCCGGGACCTCACCCCCTCTCTAATGGGAAACTGGTTGTGGAGCTAAAGCTAATAAATCGGTGATTTATTTCGTAAACAGGAACGAGTGTAAGACGATTTAATTGTCGCATTCCCGGACCAAATTCACACGTCCTCGATCGTAGATCATGGTAGGTGGGAGAGAGAGCAACCGGGGAGAGTTTGACGGCCATTGTACAGCGAGTTCTAAGCACATTAGACCAAAATTTACGGGACCGTCACCAAATATTCCTGAAAACGCATTTCAAAAATTAAGCAGTATTTTAATACAGTTTAATCTAGTAGCTACTCAACACAATATTATTTCAGAATTGCAACATTTTAAATCGTCATGGAATATTTTAAAGGAAAATGTCAGTGAAACTTTTATAAAATTAAACGAAAATGAACATTCTACTGATGATCAAGTAGAAACTAATAAAGATACAGTTTTATCCTCTTACTGCATTGCTTGCAAAAATTGCCCTATTTGTTATATTATTCAGATATAACATGTTAAGTGGTGCTTATTCTATACTTGGTCAAACATATAAATATCTGCTATCTATGTCTGTAACACAAGTGTCCGGTGAACAAAGCTTTTCTATGTTAAAATTAATTAAAAGCAGGCTAAGATACTTATAAGTATCTCGCAAGAAAATCTATAAGCCTTCGTGTTAATGTCAGTGGAGAAAGATTTTTAAACAAAATACATTCTACTGATGTCATTAATATTATTGCTCAACAAAGCAAACTTCTAAATAAAAACACTAATGTTGTAGAATGTAGACTTGTGCTTATTGTAATTTTTGTCAATGTTGTATTTCGAATATATTTAAATANCAAACTTCTAAATAAAAACACTAATGTTGTAGAATGTAGACTTGTGCTTATTGTAATTTTTGTCAATGTTGTATTTTGAATATTTTAAATATAAATAGAAAAAATACATTTTTTTTTATTTATGGGCTGGGCCGGTAATAAATTTTCCACACAAATTTTAGGGCCAGTCCGCCCCTGCATCTAGGGTTAAAGTCTTTATCACTTTATAAATGGAAACACTATAGAAATTTTGAAATATATATAATAAAATGCATCAACTGTCTAAAATTTGTAATGGTTAAGACAAGTCCCACTTGTCTTAACCCCCTCTATCCGTTTAAGTGTGGATGGCATTTATGCACAACCCCTATCTCAAAAACCACCGATGTTCAAGGTCACCAAAAGTTGTCCTGTCTGCTCTGTAAACTTTGTTATTAATCGAAGTAAATTATCTCGATAAATATAGTCCCTCAACTTAAAATTTGAAAGACTAGTCGCAACGGTCGATTCTTGTGGAATTTTTAGTGTGTGGAGAATATATTACAGTAGCCCCACGTTATATCACGCTTTTCCTTTGTTTCCCGACAAGCGCGATATAACGAGAGGCTACTGTATTTACAAAAG